AAAAAAGCGCGAGACAACGACGACCAAGACCAGCGAACGAACCACGGCCACTCCATCCCTTCCCAATCCGAAAAACTATAAATTTCGCCCCCCTCCCCCCCCGGCACCAATAAAATATATAAAAAAAAACAAGGTTTGGGCCTCGCCCCCCCGAAAAAGAGAAAAATAATGGGGAACCCTCAAAACTCTCGCGCAAGAAAAAAAAGGAAGATCTGACAAATGAAATAAAATCAAAAGACATTTGGTGGTTTTCCCGTCAGGACACGGAAAATAATACGCCGTGAAGCAGGTAGGGTTTGGTGGGGCATCGCTCTCTTCAAACTTATATAAGTTCAGTCTATAGGAGGTGGGTATTTGGGGAAAAGATAGGAAAATAAAAAAGGAGAAACAACAAGCTGTCGCGGAGCCAAGCAACAATAAAATAAAACATGATGTAGTGTGTGAAAAGCCCTAGTCTAATGTGGTGCCTCACGGGTATGAAAGGATAGACAGCGAATAGGATAATGACTCCAAAAGTGTACACGCTTTCCCAGGGTTTGAAAAAAAGCAAAACGGCCAAAGGACAAAAATGAGAACTCGCAAAAGGCCTCGATTGCCATGTGCAGACCGGTATCCCCCAAACACCAACGCAATGTAGATGCAGCAAAAGAACTTTTCCTCCACGTAATTTACAGGTAGACTAAGCAATCTGCCTTGTCTCAAAATCGATTCTGAGCTGCAAAAATGCTCGCTGCAGCTGATGCCGCCCATTCGTTACCATCGTGTTCGTATGGAGGGGTAGATGATTGTTGTTTGTTTGAATGTCGAATTTTGGATGGAGTCACTTGCGCAATGCCTTGACCAAAGAGAACTGTACTACCACTTGCGGATGGTGACGGAGTTGGGTAGGGATTCGACATACCGACATGACTGTTTGACTGTCTCAAGGATGGTCGGGTATCCGGTTGAATCGAGTTTCGATCCATTTTCTTCATGGCCTTGTGGGTCGATGTCAATGCCTCATCGAGAAGTTCATCCTCTTCATCAGGAGTTTCGTATTGCCGACCACCTGTAGGAACGACAGAACGTCGGGTACGGCTAGACACTGGACCAACTGCACCACGTAGGTTGTCGGCTGACTTGGGCTGTTGGTGTGGTAGAGAATGGTGTCGTTTGATACCACTGCTGGGGTTTATTACGTGGTTGGGTGGAATTGGAGCTGTCTTCTCTGAAGAGTCGAGGTTTTGCTGAACTGTTCTCAGGGCTTTATCTAGGGCCTCATGAGTGTCAACTTTTGGAATTGGGCTTGGAGTGGGTATTCCATTGCTGTCAATGACCATAGAAGATCGGTTGCTAGCCCATGGCCCACACCCTGCCTGTGCTTCAATATCCATCGATTTCGGGGACATGGGAGTTTGAGATGATTGTCGTCCTGAGAATCTCCTGGCGCGTTTTCGTAGATGTGAAAAGAAGCTTTCCTTGTGTCCGTTCGGTGGCGACGCTAACCCGCTGTTTCCATTCAAAGCAGCCTCCGCCTGTTGTCTATGTAAGTCCGCATAGTGATTACCATTTGAAGCTACTGAAAGTTGGCGTCCAATTTTCTTCGCCACTTTGTCGTCCAAGTTGTTGGGTGCATTATAAGACGGCGTTCGGCTACTTGCCTGTGCGGTTACAGCATCAGATAAGGGCGAGATGGGTTTGATCGTAGGTAATATTGCCATGGGAGCGGCATTCGAGGTCCCGTTGGTCCAGGTCGCTCGTTTTCCCTGGTTTGGTCGGGTTTTGGCCACTGGGAGTTCTGTGGTCACATGTACAGGAGGTGGACGAGCAGGAGCATTCTCCTTACTCGCAACAGGTGCAGCCAAGTTGCTGTTACTTTCGGTCCGGGTAATCAACGATTTTCTAAACCATGACTTGCTGGATGAAGTTGGGGCAATTTCCGATGAATCCTTGGACCCCCGGTAGCTGATGTCCGACTTTTGGCGACCCAACATCTTGGAAGCCGCCGATTTTGGTCGCAGAGGATCTACGGCGTCTGTGAAGAATTCGTGGGCAATGGCCTGTGTGGATGTTGGTCGAGCTTTTGGATCCCACATCAGACACCACGTGACAAAATGAGCCAGCGACGCGGGCCATTGGGGCGTTTGAAGGATAGTATCCATGGCATGGGGTGCCATCTTTGGGAAAGAAAACCCAAGCTTGCCAGCTAGTCGAGTGCCTTCTCTCCATTCCCCTCCTCCTACTCTGCCTCCAGTCTTGTTGTACCAGTTGCCTGGGCTTCCCATAATCTCACATACTCTCCAGACCTGATCCACCTCATTTCCTCCGGGGAATAGGGGTTTCAATGTTGCAATCTCTACAGCCATGGCACCAATGGCCCAAATGTCGACAGGTGCTGAATACTCGCCCGCTCGGAGTAGAACTTCGGGTGCCCGATACCATCTCGTTGATACATAAGTTGTATAGGGTAACTTTGAGTGCGTCTCTCTGGCAAGTCCAAAATCGGCAATCTTGACGGTGTATGTTGGAGGCGTTGATGGGGGTGTGACCATGGCGGAGTATCGTCTGAATGAGTTACCTGATTCCTGTTGAGCTGATGTAGATACGAGAATATTTTCAGGCTTGATATCGCGATGAAAGAAATGGTGAGCATGAATGTGCTCCAACCCTTGCATGATCTGGAACAATATACTCTTGACACTGGCAACATCCAGGGTCTTGTGCTCACGGGCCTTCATTAGCTGGTAGAGATTGCCATCCATATACTCCATGGCAATGTGTAACTTTTTCGTGAAGGGGTCCAGAAAGATGTCGAGAGCAGGAACCAGGTGCTGATGGTTGGGAAGCGTTCGAAGGAAAACGACCTCCCTTAATTCCAGGCAAGGTGCGAATGATTCAAAGTTCTTCTTCATAGTTTTGATGGCGATCTAAGGGGTATCACGATCAGCTCTGTGGATGACACATCACTCTCCCGACCAAACTTACCACTGTCCCGCGTCTTGCAACATTGGATCCAGCAGATCGGACTCTAGCCAACACTACACTTCCGAAACTTCCATCTCCGATGTCTTTCAAGACCTCAAATCTATCTTCCAACGCAATCCCCGTCGTCGTCAGGGGCGTCGACGACCCTCGGTGTGTCAGATCATACGCTACCGGCATTTTGATGTTCTGCCAGAAAGGCTTTGTGAAGATTTGTTTGGTTGTCGCGATGCTCTCAACTTGTGACGCGGTTGTGGTCAACGAGGTTGAGCTATGAGGTGTGAATTTCCAAGGCCAATCTCGCAGGTTGACCCACGAATTGGGAAAGAGTCGATAGCGTACCTTTGCTAGCACGCTAAGAAGCCCTTCAAAAAGAGCTCGACACGGTCACCGTTGCATGCAGGCGAAGCAGAATCAGTCTATCAGGAGACGATGTTCTTTGTGGTGTGGTCTAGTGGTGGTAATAGGGGGTTCGAGTGCGGGAAACGAGTGACGGGTGACGAGAGATGGTTCGAGTAGGTGGTGGAATGATTGTGTCGAAGCTTGTAGAGTCGATGTTCTCGAAGGAATTGATGGATTGGGGAATCGTAAGGAAGAAGTGAAGAAGAGAGCTCGAAGGTGACCAGGACGAGGAAAAGAGCCGTTACCAGGAAGCGGGAGTGCGGGTCCCTGTGCCTGACCCACTATGAGTGCAGCAGAAGCTCTCGTGGACGATCACAACAGGATAAGGTCTCCGCGCACGAGTTTTGGGGTTAGCGTCAAAAAGAGTTAGGTGGAGAGTGGAAGGGTTGATGTGAGCGGGCGTTGGGCCGTTAGCGGTCGGCTTGGAGAAACTAGAAGTACGTCCAGTACGTCCAACAGGGCAAGAATGATGGTTGCGCTGCGGCGGCGGGTGGTGGTGGGTGATAGTGTAGGTACGGTAGTGGACGTGGGGGGGCTCGGGGGGCAACCTAAACGCAATGGTGTGTTGTTTCTTCCACCCCCAGAGGGCGAATTGGCGACGACGAGCGCGTGGAAGCAGAGCGGAGCGCAGTGAATGCACAAGAACAACGCGCAGATCGCATGAAGCAGCACCGCGTCGAGTTCCTTCCGTGCCAGCTTCACCGCTGATGGACAAGCGAATTGGTGGTGAAAATCACTCTGGGATTCTGGGGTGCTTGAGGCGGCGGGGGACGATGATTTGGGGCAGATGGATTCGAGGGACCCAATAATTCCAGCAGGCAATTTGGAGGGGCATGAAGCAGGTTGGGGATGGTGGTGCTTGCGATTAATGGCCAATTTCGCTAAGTAGAGTTCGATGGGCACAGGCGCGAACCGGGGGATGCGATGGGATTTTCCGAGCGGGATACGTGGGCACCAAGCTCAGGTAGGGTGCTTTAGGGTGCTTGCCACTTGGGGTTAGGGTCTTGCAAGCTGCGCAGGCAGGTGCGAGTGCTGAGCGTTCACCTCTGAGCGTTCACCTCACAAGAGCAGGCAGGAGCAGCCGGGCAGGACTACCTGCAAAGGAGACCGTCTGGACTCTGGACAGACAGCTGGAGCTGCGGGCGACGGCTACGCTACGGCTAGAGCACTAGTACGGTAGACCAGATTGGCTATCCAAGTCAAATATTAGGACGTCGCAGGTGATGGCAGGTGGCAGGCCAGGTCGCCAGATTGGGGAAGGGGATTTCGGGGATTCAGGTCCCGGGGGATGACTGCCAGATTCCACGCAGGCACGCAGGCACACCGAACTGACGCAACAGGGCCAGAAAGGGGGTCGGAACTTGGCCGAGTCTGAGCGGGCGTGAGTGTGATCTTGGACCGAAGTTTGACGATGCTGGACCTGAGAAATGACGGGATGGCAGAGGCAATCGACCGATGTGAGAGATGCAGAGAATGGTTTGGTGTTGAAGCAGAGGGAGCAGAAAGAGAGGGAGGGTATGGTGAGAATAAACAAGTCGCTCAAGCTTCCAATGGCAACGTGAACGTGGTGATGCCAGCGCAGCAATGCGAAGCATGAGCCTATGAGGGGAAAGCACTGAGGCCGCCGCAGCTTATTCGACAACCGACGCTGGCACCCTGACGCGAGACCACTGACGAGCTCCGACTTGACCACCGGCATCCACTGCACAGTGGAGAGACTTGGGACCCAGGGCTGATTTGACAGGACCCGACCGGCTTGGAAAAAAGAACTGGGCTTTTTTTTTATTTTGGAGCGATTGATTCAGGAGAGGGGAAGCCTTCCGCGCGGGGAGAGAGGCTCAGAGATCCGCTGTGGACTGTATGGGAGCAATGGATTATGGAATCAAACAATTAGAAGTATTTTGTGAGGCATAAATGAGGGTTGTGCAGAGTTGTGAACTTGTGCGTCGATGGACGAGTCGCTCCAGGCTGGAGGCTCCAGGCTGGAGGGGGCGAAGATGATGGTGAAGGGTTTGGTTGTTGAGAGTTGGAGTGGAGCCTGGAACTTGGCTGGAGAGCCACCGAGGGGGCATTACGAGCATTTGCATTACTCCGTACATCGGGGGCTGGCAGTTGCAGTTGCAGCCGGGGGCAGAAGAAGAGAATTCTGAATTCACACAGGTGACCGAGGGCACTTGCGACCGATGCTTCTCCTGCCAGCCAAGAATCATGTGTGAGAGAACTCCGCTAGCGTTGCACACATCTCTACAAAGTATGGAGTAAAAGTACCCTATAACAATTGGATAGCAATATTGACGATCCGATGCTGATACCACTGCACATTTCACTCGCATAGGAATTCTATGAAAAGCAGGGCTGGGCGACATCGAGGAAGAGCCTATGAGATGTCACTTTCCGACAACTCCAACATCTCACTTGTCGAGAGGTCAGGCGCGAAAGCCATAGGCTCACCACAACCAGACTCCATCACTTCCACCCTCATCGCTCTGGTAACTGGCCTCCAATCTGGCCGCGCCCAGGGCTTGAACTATGCTTATGTTACATTACCATCTTCCAATGGTTTGAAAGGAGGGCATCCACGATATTGAATTGCGCACGATACTCCGTACACCATTTTTCAATAGCCTGAGCACTACTACCTATACCTATCTACTCTCAGCATGCCTATCTACTCTCAGCATGCCTATCTACTCTCAGCATGCCTATCTATCGACTATCTATTCAAATAGATCCTACCGTACGCCTCGACATGATTCACATCAAGCCGCGATGACGAGCCATCAAACTTCATTACCTTACCTACCAACAACTGACAGAAATTTAGCTTTCGAAAATACGGACGGAGTACGTAAATACGGCAGTAGTCATCCTACCTGGAAAAAAAAATCAGGCTAAAGTACCTAGGTAGATTCAAGTAATTGTAAAACGTTGCGCCGTGCCTAACCAAACCAAACCAAACCAACCTAAGAGAAATAATGTCACTATCACATCACATCACGTCCACGGATTGGAGAATGCAAAATTGGAGGACGCTGGACGCACTACTCGAACAGTACAGTAGCAAGATTTCCAGGCCCTCGGCATGCAGCTCGTGCTCGTGCTACAACCTACCTACCTACTCGTACGTCCACAAGTAAATTTACGATGCTATTCACAGAAGGGCTGTGAGGGATCCTGCACTGCACTGCACTGTTCTGCACTGGCACCTTACCTAGCCAGACACTACCTAGGTAACAGAACTAGCCGGCTAGAAGTAATTACAATTCAGTACCGGCGCTAGGTAGGTAATTTACTCGTGTAGAGTCCTCGTCCTCGTCCTCGTCCTTACTTCTAGGTACTTCGTAGAATGAATCCCATCCCCGTACCGTACCGCACCGCACCATACCTACGAAGTAACATCATACCTACCTAGGCAAATTCATCTCATCAAACCCGACTCTCGAATTCGAGTTCGTGTTCACAATCAATCAACAACCCAATCCAATAATACGAAGTATTCGGTAATAATAATGGAACGAGGATTAAGATTTCCATCCGTCCATCCTGAATAATAATAAGCTGACTCAACTTACTCGATACAAAAATTAAGCAAGTAAAATTTAACACGCAAGGTAAGGTCGTCCACCACACCACACCACACCACAGCCTTTAGGAACATTAGAAATCTCACTACTGCCAAGTCAGGTAGAGGAGAGTAGTGGAAGGAAAGTACTTCGTACCTAGGTCCTGTAGGTAGGAAATTTGATTTTTCTATGAATAGTGATAAATAAACATGAAGTACCAAGTATAGAAGTACACATCTCATCTCATCTCATCCATCTCATCCATCATGCAAATCCCGTCAATAATACATCCATCGTATCCCCCAACCAACTACTCTAGTGCCTACATACCCATCCCAAACCCCCCTTCCCCCCCCC